ATATTTATCATGTAGACACTGTAGTGAATGTAAAGTGGATCCACCATTACCTGTATGGTCAGATGAAGAAACAGTTCTTAAAAATGTACATGAAATACAGTTTTTAAAACATATTTTTGTATATCTTACCAATCTTGCATCCTGGAGGATCTGCAAAGACATGATAATTGATGCTAAGTGGCAGTTCTTTCCTCTCCAGTTTCTCAGTGATCTGAATTTCATAAGCAGACTTCTGGTCCTCATCCACTGCAGTAATGACCACAAGATCCCAGAATTCATCAGACTGAACTTCTTTACCTGTGGATGGGAAATGAATATCTGTTTCTCTTGTTATAGTTATAGAAAACCCTCATGAGCAACAAACAATGTCACACAAGTGAATATTCTCAGCAACAAAAAAGTCAATACAAGTCGAACAGTTGTATATTTTAAATAGAAAAGTTTAAAGATTTAAACGTTACCTCTCATTTGTTTGAATTTGTCAAGTTTCTCCTTGGTGGATTTTTGCAGATGGATGTTTAAGCTCTCTGCCATTATGAGAACCAGCAGGTCCTCTATCTGTCTAAATCACTACAAGAAAATCTGAAAAAAAAAATTAAACGACAAATATGAATCAACAAAAGGACATCATGTGCGGAACTATGTGCGACAATGATCAGCTATTTGCCGTTTTCAAAAAGTCACTTAAAACCCTTCGATTACAGAATATGTCCCGTAACTAGTTTACATTGGCACTTCCGGGTTCCAGTCACGTGGCAAACAAACTCTGACGTCCGTATTCGATTGCTCGCTCTGCCTCCATCAATTAATTTACGTTAAACTGAATTAATTACTTATAATATTCAACCTCCCGAAAAAAAACTATATCCGTTTTATTTGTAATGTGGTGTGAATGGTTTTCAAGAAAATGTTAGGAGAAGCTTCTTGTATTTCCAAACGATGTTGTCATAGCAACTTTTATCTTGGAATCATTCGGCCAACAAAAGAGAGCCAGGCACAAAACCATGGTAAGAACAAACTCAAGAGCAGATTGAGAATTTGAACAGATTAAATTTAGTGAAACATGCAAATATGTCCACATATGTTTTAGGAATAATACTATAATAATCATGTAGTGTTGATAATCATTCTGCCTCAGGATGTTTTTGTGATATGAAAAATGTTTCCTTTCAGAAAATGGAAGAGATACATTTCACAAAGATATAAAAATGGATTCCCTGGAAGGATACTGGGCCTATTTGGTAAACTGCTCTCAGTCTCTGATACTGGATCATGGCTACTGGACATCAGAGGGTGAGAAAGATCTGGAGGACATGTTGATGGTCAGATTGAGCAGTTTGCTTTTAAAGAGTCTGGATCAGATTGGATCTTGCAGAGCACTGCGAATTTGTATCTTGGCTGACAACTTTCTGACCAGGATCGAAGCTCTGATGGAATGTACTCACTTGGTGAAGTTAGATCTGAAAGGAAATCAGGTATTTATTTAATTTGCTTCCCTGAATATTTGATTCACTTTAAGGAGAACAAATCACTAACAATCATCTTTCTGCTCAGATCGTTCAGCTCCCTGATGCTTTATGTTGGAGTCATCTGAAAGAATTGCAACTTCTATATCTACACGACAACAACATGTCAACCTGGAACAATATTAAAGGCCTGTTGGGCTGTTTAAACCTGACTGCTTTAACTCTCTATGACACCCCGCTCAGTTTAAAGAAGAGCTACAGGCACTGTCTGGTCAACAACATATGGTCACTGAAGGCCTTGGACAACTTTGTTATCTCTGATGAGGAAATCATTCAAAACTGGTCTCTTCCCTTTCGATTCAAAGCCATGAAACAACATTTTTGTGTCAGTTTGTACCCATCTACAAAGTCGGTTAGTGCTCATTATTTATCCTGGTCTTCTTTGTTTGTTGTGTTTACTGTTATGTGCAAAAAAAAACATATTTTGATGTTTTCTTCTTCCTCAGGATTCATTTGAGACTGAGATGAAAGCGACATATAACATAATCTCTGAGATAAACAGGATTCAGGCCTTTTATTCCCCTACACTTATTATACAGCGCTGGATTCGAGGCCATTTAATTAGAAAAAGTCTTGGGTAAATATGCCGCATTTTTATATTCATCTTGATATTTGCTATGCAATGTTTTTATATGCTTATTTTGTTCACTATAAAGTACAAAACAATCATGAAGATATTATTTGGGATTTTTGTTCAGTGGGTTGAGAAACTGGTTTTAAGAGGAATTCTTCATTGTCAGGCTTTGCAGTACAAAGAAACAGATAACGTCTGGGAAACCATTCATTTCCATGCCTTTGAGGACAGAAAATGACCAGGTACAATCCCAGTCTCAGAAAACCATGAAAGAGGACACAGATGACCACCCTGAACAAGTATGTACTATATTTGACTGATGTACACTACCATTCAAAAGTTTGGGCTCATTAACTTTTTTAAATGTTTTATTTGACCATTTATTGGATCACAAACACAGCAAAACAATAATATTGTGAAAAATTATTACAATTTAAAATAACTTTTGTATATCTTAATATATTTTAATATGTGTGATGGCAAAGCTGAATTTTCAGCATCATTACTCCAGTCTACAGTGTCACATGATCCTTCAGAAATTATTCTAAATATGCTGATTTGGTGTTTAAGAAACATTTCTTATTATCATTGTTGAAAACAATGCTGCTTTTTTCAGGATTCTTTGATGGATAGAAAGTTTAAGTATTGAATTGAAAAAATCAATCAACACAGAAATTTAAGTTTACTTTACACACAATATTAAGTTAATGTAATGATCAACATTATTATGTCAACAAAACTCATCTTAAAAAGTTTAATTAAATAAATGAATAAGATTTTTTTTTTACTTGCAACAATGCATTTGTGGTAACAGGTGCATTGAATTATTTTTTGTGTATCTAAATGTAGACTCTTTATTAGTCATGCATTTGGTTTTACAGGATGCTGCAAATGTTAAATCAGATGACAATCAACAACACATAAAAGCACCATGCAACACCCCTCGTCTGAAATCTGAAGCCCATCTAAACATTTTTGACCAAGGTACAACAGAAGTTTTAGCTTTAGTTAGCTCTCCAAGAGACCGATTTGATTCACTGAATGCTTCTGTTTTGCTTGTCTAGATATCAGTGTGACTGTTGGTCCCTGTAATGAAGAAATTGAAGACGGAACCTTTCGTGTTTTGGGACTAAAAGCTTTGGTCCACCAGAGTGAGCCATTGAGTGACATGTTGTGGTCCCATAAAGCTGCAGGACAGGACATCCGTGAGGCCATCAGCCATTTTCACACTCGGTCGCAGTCACCTGCCATTACTTCAGGGCAGCGTATGATTGGTTGTTGCCATGACAAAATCAGCCTCACCCCCTTCAGTCATTGAAAGAGCCCACCAAGCATTTGAGAAAGCCAGAATGCAGAGACACCTTGCAGAGAAGGTAACTGAGCGCCACATTGACCGTGAAGTAGCCAAGGGTCATCGAGACATCTTTAGAGAGGCTCGCAGAACAGAAGTGCATCTGCGGCAGGAACGGGAAAGGGTGAATATGGAAAAAACGCTCATTCTACAGAGAGCCAAGCTGGAGCAGGACATCCATCATACGCGTCAGAAACATGCCCAGTTTTTGGAAGAGAAGAGGATGAGGATCCAGGAGCAAGAGATGGTTTGCAGTTTCAGCCAACAGCACAACTCTCTAGCGAGGGCAGTGCTCAGATACAACACATGGAAACGTGGTAACCAGCAATAAATGCATGATTGCTTTTGATTAAACTCTCAGTTTAATATGACATTTACATATTGGTTAGTTAGAACCCTTTGTGTACAGTAGCTTCAAAAGCAGATTTACTGCACTATAGTACAGAATAGTATAATATAATAAAGTACTTACCAGAAGATGTCTGCAGAGATTACATTATAGACATTAGGATCTGCTCCTCTTTTCAAAATCCAAAATATTACATAACAGGAATCCAAAAATACTCCCAGTAATACACAACCACCCCCGTCCGTCATGCACAAGTATTAAGGAACTAGTATTAAGCCACCAACTTTACATAACAAATAATTCCACATTAACTGGGTCATTATTACACTCTTTAAATAAGCACTTAAGAAAGATTAACAGGAGAACAGATTCAAATCATTGCAGTGCAAAATAAAATATATATATATTACTTTTTGCTATAGTTCTCAACAGTCGTAGTGTAACAGGAGGATCTTTAAATGCCAAGGAAAGTTTAGCTTGACAATAAATAGAGATGAACTACACTAAATTTCTACATGTAACAGTATTTATTAAAAAAAAGTCCTGTTCAGCGTATCAGCAGTGTGAAATTCAATGCATTGTTCTGGCCTGACATGAAAAGCTAGACTCTAACATCCGTCACTAACTAGACTGAAAATCTATGCAAACGTGATTGCGTATGTCCCAGGAAGTACCACATATCGACCTTGCCACCTGTTTGAAGTTTATTCATTTTATTTTGAGTACTTTGAGTCATTGAGAACGACAACAGTGCAGTACGCTAGCTTAGACTTCTGGAAGTGGCATCTGTAGAGAATTTTACATTATTGCACATGACCCTAAATTCTAGCTTAAAGTCTAAAAGGTGAAATATCTAAAAAAAGAGAATAATTATCTTTTTTTTAAATTATAATATTACTATTCATCAAGGCTACATAACAAAACAATTCTCTATATATTTATATATTACATATTTTTTTGTATTACATACAACAACAAAAAAAGACTCCCCTGATAACTGATGCTAATGCCTTTTTCTAAATTCAAAAAGGTATAAAACTGTCACTGGAGCAATAAACCTTCAAAATGTACTAATATGTACACTTTATGTACTAATATGTACTTTTGAAGTACTAATATGTACGTTTAAGGTACTAATATGTACCATTTAGAGGTAAATTTGGTACAAAGATGTACCTTTTAGCTTTTGTATCTTCGGGTACCAGTGACAGTTTTGTGCCTTTATTTTCTGAGAGTGTATGGAAAATAAGAGTTTTACGTACCTAAAGTTCATGATCTTTTATACTAAACTCAAATGTGAATATCTGTGTCAACCCTATATATCTTGACCCTAATCTTTTTTTTTTTAGAAACGAAATCAATTTCTGAAGAACATAGAATGTTGAATTCAGCTTTCTCATAGGGTGGAGGTGGGCAGGGAAGCCAGACTCTCTTTATTCTCCTCCAGGAAAGCGCTACATGAGGCAAAGGTGCAGTAGAAACTGGAGGAAAGCCCAGCGATGTCAGTGGAGATATAGGGCAGCACGCCAGGAGTGGCCTGGTTGTAGTAAGAAATCTGAGAGAAATGCATACATAAGCATGTAAGCCAACGCACTTAACCTTCAGTACTTTAACACCTACATGACAGCACCAGGAACCACTCTAAGCAGTTTCTAAACATGAGTTATAAACGGTGTTATTGGCTAATGTACATGCACATTATTTAAGTTAAAGAGATTGCTACGTTTAAAGCCGTGTTAATTCTTGAACTTTGACTCATTTGCTCATTCAGTATAAGTGTCCATTAGGCTTTCTGTGTATTTATTACCTTAGTGAAAGTGTTTTCCTCTTCCCAGATACTGAACCCAGCACAGAGCACCTCTCCTCTGTTGTAGTCTTCAGTGGGAGGGTACGCAGGCAGGGTCACAGAACGCAAGGCAATCAAATAAGGGTCTCTAAAAGTGACAAAGATGTAATAACGTGTTATTTTGCCCTTTGGAAAGACACAATATAGAGATTCTGTAGGAGTTTAAGGTTTACCCAGAATCACAAGGGCGCCTCCTGGAGGCCAGGAGGATGAAGTCCTGGACTTTGCCTCTTTTAGTCACAGAGTCGTCTTCATCTGAGTCGGTTATCACGTCACACTCTCTGTATTAAGGCATATTTATTATGGTTAATTATAATATCATAATGCGTTCTACGTTAAATCAAGTAATTTGAAACTGTGGCTGATCATTTTATCTGCCAGCCATTGTAACAAACAGCAAAGACACTTGTAAAAATAACATTTCATTTAAATTTACATTGCAGCAAAAAGTGTTCATTTATAGATTTTAATGTTTTTTTTATTAATTAAAAAACTCTGTTAAAAGTAATAGGATTTAATGTTTTTGAGTCTCATGTTCACCAAGGTTGCATTTATTTGATAAAAAATACAGTACAACAGCAATATTTTTAAATATTACAACTATTTTTTAAATGTAATAAATTCTTGTGATGGCAAAGCTGAATTTACTCCAGTCTTCAGTGTCACATGATCTTAACAAAAAACAAACAAACAAAAAACATTATAATATGCTTATTAGGTGCTAAAGAAACATACAATGTTTCTAATTATTATCAATGTTGAAAACAGGTGTACTACTTTTTATATACTTTTTCATATTTTTGTGGACATTGTGATACATTTTTAGGATTAATAGAACTCCAAACTTTATATTTTCATTTTAAAAAATGGCTGTTAAATGTCTGTCGCTTATAAAATTCAATATTTTCTTTTTTTGTTATATAAAATGCATTTGACATACTGGTAGTGGTGGTCCCATGCCTTCCTTCGCCTTAGATCAGACAGTAACAGAAACACCTGCTCGGCCGCCACAGCCACATGAGTCTCCACCTTAAAGCACAACATCTGGTTCTCCTCCAGTGTGTATAAACTCACCTGGGCACAATGTTTCAGCTCATTAATTTCCCTCAAGCATCTACAACATTTTTGACTGCTCAAGTCACCCATGTAATCTCAAAAAGACAAAATGGAAAATTTAAGTGTACAAAACTTATCCACCTTGTTCTTCTCTGAGGTTAAGACCCAGTTAGTCCGGGCAGCCAACATCTTCAGTGCCGAAACATTATTGTAACTGAGGTACATCTGCCAAGACATGGA